TTCGTCAAAATTGGTAAAAAACGCACACAGCTGTATGCCAGGAACACATCACAATGGATTAAAAATATTTGGAATGAAAGTTAAAATTATTATCATATTACATGTTACATCGTGAAACAACCACTATATGTATATATATATATATATATATATATATACAGGGTGACTTCGAAGTTGAGTCATTTATTTTAACAGTGAGTAGATCTGATCAAAAGAAATGTTTTTTTCCTTTACCATTTTCCTGGTAAAATTAAAGTAACAAAGTTATAGCCCTTTGGAAGTTTGAGTACCGCCCTGTCTCAATAATATTATGTGGTCGTGTTTGGCGACAACGGATATAATCCGCCGTATCGGTTCATCGCATCGGACACAAAAAAGCGAAAGAATTTGGAACCATGTTTTTATAAGTATTTCATTCATTTGTATACAGTCAGTGTTAGTGGATAGTGGTATGTTGCGTGGCTTAAACGAAATAAAAAATGACACATGTTTATGCGGATCGGTTTCCCAATCGAGTGCAACCAACCCCTCGTGCCTTTGTTAATGTAGAACAAGGGGCTCGTGAATCAGGTGACTTAAGACCTCACAGGGGACCTCACGATCAAATACAGGTCCGCACTGAAATACTTGTCGGGAGGATACTTTATAAAACAAGGTAAAAATTTTTTTAATTTTTTTTTTATTTTTACACACATATTTTGGTTTATCTTCCTTCTACAATCATTATCTGAAAATTAATGACTCAACTTCAAAGTCACCCTGTATATATATACTAAGTGACATATAAATCCGAACACCCAGTTTAAATGGTTTTATTTTAATAAAAGTTGGTGAATGTATTTATCTTACTGTAAATAACAAGTGAAACAATTTTCAGCCTTATCAGTTGGACATTCCGGTTTTTATACTGCTTTTTTTAATTCACTAACGCTCTAAAAATGAATATTTCAGCCGCAGTAAAGAATCAACGTTGGCGGATTTTGGTTCTTGACATCCTTTACGATCGGTTACGATGCCTAGAGTACGGAGACCTGTACGATTTCGTCAACTTAGTGAGTTTGATAGGGGCCGTATAGTGGGACTTCAGGACACTGTGGTTAGGTGTTGTCAGGCATGGCTTCGAGAAGGCCGTACGCAAAGAGCAAGGGGCACTGGGCGCCGCCGTAGAACAACAGACCGTGAAGATCGCCGCCTAAGATTATTGGCCTTAAGGGACCGTTTCTCCACTACCAGGTCCATTGCAAATAAATGGTTTGCAGAACACGGAAGACACTGGGTCCTCCCTTTAACTCGAGAACACCGACGTAATCGCCTTGAGTGGTGCAGACAACGGTCACTCTGGGATCAGGAATGGAACAGTATTGTCTTTAGTGACGAGTCTCGATTTTGTTTAGGCATGCACGATGGTCGTGCCAGGGTTAGAAGGCGACGTGGTGAAAGGAGGAATCCACAGTTTTTTGTTGAAAGACATGTTCATCACACTGTTGGAGTTATGGTTTGGGGTGCTATAGCTTATGGTTCCAGGTCACCTTTAATCTTCATCAGAGGTAACATGAACGCGCAGCGTTATATCCACGAAGTTCTAGAACCCCATCTTTTACCCTATCTTGACACCCTGCCAGATCCAACTTTCGAACAAGATAATGCCCGACCACATGTTGCAAGAGTCACAATAGACTTCTTTCAACATAATGATGTCATATTGTTACCATGGCCACCAAGATCTCCCGATTTATCCCCAATTGAGCACGTGTGGGATATGATGGGTAGGAGATTGCTTAATTTGCAACGTCCTCCTCAGACTCTAGAAGCACTTCGAGAGGAGTTGGTGGTTGCCTGGAATGAGATACCACAGGAGGACATTGACCACCTGATCAGAAGCATGCCTAGGCGCGTTGGAGAATGCGCTGCACATCAGCGTGCATCCACACATTAAAAGGTCAAAGGGCTTTAAAGCAGTGCAATCATTTTGAAATTTTTATCATTTACTTATTATGCTTCATCAAGTACTTATACAAAATTTTATTAAAATAAAACCATTTAAAATGGGTGTTCGGATTTATATGTCACTTAGTATATATATATATATATATATATATATACATAAAAATATAGAGAAAATGATCATGCGGAGAAAGTTATATAACAAAAAATAGGAAAATAATGGGCAAAATCCGCAAAAAGAAGGAAAGTGGATTCGAGCAGAAAATAGCATAGGTAACCCGAGCGATATTTATTTCTGCTGGTTGGCTTCATCAGGCCCGAAATAAATACACATACATATTTAATTACAAAAGTAGATACACATGCCCATACATCCGGATACGGGTGTAACCTGAGGAACCGAAGATGGAGAGGGAAAAAATCACACACGAAGTCCACACCTGATGAAGCCAACCAGCAGAAATACGTATCGCTGGGGTTACCTATGCTATTTTCTGCTCGAATCCACTTTCCAGAAGTCGACGTCAAGCCGAAACCGGGTGATAGGCAAAGTCATAACAGCTATCAGAAAAATATTTAAAACAAATTTATGTATGTGTTTTGAATATTATAGGTCTTTGAAAAAAATATAGAAATTTCACACCCTACGGCAGTCTGTTAACTCCTGTTACTACAAATATTAACTTTTTTTGGATTTTATTTTTACAATGTAATGAGGAATAATGCATCTTCAAACTGGTGTCTCAACCTTACTGCCAACTTTTCTCGTTCAGGAAAAATTGCCACTTATTTCCCAACCAAGTATTCCAAAGTAAAACTTTGCTCAACTTTAACTGGCTGTACTGGAAAAAAATATACTACGAGAGTTTGGCAAGTAACCTTAAAAGTTGGCGCATTTAATAACGATTCCAAAATGGTATAACACTTAGAAGATTACTCGTTAACTTATGCACAATTTTTATTTGAAGAAAAACTGATGAAAATTTTTCAAAATTTCCTAATTAAACAGCGATTATGAAAACGCACAAGGACCCTTAAGGATAACTGTTTGCACAACAGTGGGCGTCAAAGTGCTGCTGATGATGATTTACCTTTACATCAAATGCTCAAACTGTGTTCCTTCAGCCGTAATAAACGCTCGACATCTTCTTAAAAAAGATCGGGTTATTAAACGAGCGAATCCACGGTTATTAACAAACTCAGCTGCTTCCAATAGTCTTTGCCGTAGCTCAGCTACATTTTGAATCGGCTTGAAATACACTTTTTCTTTTACAGTTCCCCAGTAAAAAAAATCTAACGGATTCAAATCTGGTGACCGGGCTGGCCACGTTGGAATAGTACATAGGCTACTTTTTATCTTGAGAAAAAGCATTGAAAAATCTTTTTCATGGAATAAATGGCGTAATGGAATTTGAAATGAGGTATCTGGCGCGGAAGCGCTCAGTCGCTGCTCCGACCGAAATGAATAGGACATTTGCATCGGGTATTTGCTGCATTTAATGCATTCCGGCAGTATTCTTAGCGTGATCGTCTTGATTTAGATTTGTTTGGTGTTTTGTTCCACTTCCAAGTACAATACTATGAATACATTGTTATTGGGTTAGGCTATGCTAAGATATGCCACATAGACTGTGAGATACTTCACGTATTATTTACTGTCACTCTGATTACACATTTGACATTAATTTATTATTGCATTAAAATGTTGAACAAAAAATGTCCATTTCCAAAGTAAATATTGCATTACTCTGAATACTGCATTACTTTCTACGATAACAATATTCTTTACACTAACGCAAAACGAATGCTACTTTTTTCAAAAAGCCGAGTACCGGGTGGTGGGTCAGATTGGAATTATGAGTACCGCGCACTGGGCCAAGTACTGGACTGGCTACTCGGTGCAGCGACTGGCTACAGGTTATTTCTAGTTAACCAGTAGATGTTCTTCTGGTTAAGGTTAACTACCGTTTTAGGACAAACCTGATATTGAAAACCGGTATGAAGTTAGCAGCCAGTTTCTTTCAATCAATTCTTCCGGGCATTCGCGTGAAGTTAGCGGCCAATTTTCAGCAGCCATTTTTTTTGTACCAACTACTGACTTTTTAATGATTGCATCGTATTTCTAGATAATTTTGTTAAAATTATAACAACACACCGCCTCAAAAAGGGTAGTTTCACCCTTAGTGCAAAAATATTTAGAAAGATATGCAGCTTTTCAAAAAAGCTAACACCATTGATGAATAATGAAAATAAATAAAGCACTTCGTTTATATGTGTATGTAGGCGTAGAAGACAGATCACTGTTACCCTCAGAACATAGGCAGCTTTTTATATCTCCCACCTAGTTCGAAGCAGAGTTACAGGCTAAAAATAAATGGACAGTGTTAGTAGTAGCTATTAGGTCACTTCCTCGGACCCGTCGAAGAAATGGACTTCACCCCTTGAACGTTAAATATGTGTTTTTTGTATTTTTAACCTAACCAGAAATAAAGTTACAGGCGAAAACTGAATCAAAAGCGTCCTTCTCATTCTCACTTCTTATAGCCAGTAATGAAATGCCTGTAACCCTGACTACATGGGAGATGTAAAAAGCTGTCTATGTTCTGAGGGTAGGTAGCCACCCCCACGCCCAGTAGGTAAGAAAATAATGATATGTCTTCTACAACTACATCTAAACGCTGTTGCTTTATTCATTTGCATTTTTCAATAATGCTGTTAGCTTCTTTGAATAGTCCGATACCTTTTTGTAAATATTTTTGCACTAAGGGTGAAACTACCCTTTTTTAGCAGGTCTGCTGCTAAATTATATGGAAATACGGTGCAATCATTAAAAAATTAGTACAGTGAACTCCGGTTATAACGTATCCTCTAGGGAGAACAAAAATATATGAAGAAAATCCATAAAAATAAATATGTAAACTTTAATTTGGTTCAATTGAAGGAGTAAGCCAACTAAAAATACACTCTAGGTATGTAATAAGAAAAATATTATAGTAATATGAATATGTAACATATAACATTGAAATAGGACAATCAAATTAAATATGTACAATTACCTATGTAATTAAGCATACAGTTATGATTTTCGAAAAAATAACATATTTTTGTTTGTTGATTTCTTTACACACTTTTATATTCTCGATATGCTTCTCAACTTTCAACGAGGCTTGTAAAATTGTATCATCAGATCCGTGATCAGTAAACTGTAAAAAATTTGCAAGAGTTTTAACTGCACAAAGTACTTCAGAATACTTTGAAATTGGTTAGTTCACTTGTCCATCATCATCGCCGCTTTCGTCATCGGAACTTAGATCATTCAACTTCGGCAATAATGTCACAATCCGTTAAGGTATGCGTTGCTACCAAATTATCGGCGATGGTCGTAAAATTATCTAGTTCAGGAAGATATTTCACCACAGTAGTTACGTCTGGGCAGTGACTTCGCAACCAATCACTTAGGGGACGTTCAAATGATGATCATCAACACTTTTGTATTCCTCGTACCACTGATTCAGAGGCAAGTCATTATCTGAATCAAACTCATCGATCGATTTCACTAGGCCAGCTTGTTGAAAGTAGTTTTCAATAGTGTTTTTTGAAACTTCATTCCATGATTAATATTATCGAGTCTAAAATTGTTATGCTGAAAGTTTCCTCATTATCCAATGATCGGATTAGGCGATACATAAAATATCTGCGATAATGTTTCAAGGCATTTTATTATGCCTTGATCCATCGGTTGTACGATCGGGGTGCAATTGGGGGGCAAAAATTCTAATCTGATATTTGTCAGATCTACATTCTTAGGATGAGCTGGACAATTGTTAACTATACCATAACTATCTAAAACTGCAAAGACTCATCGATGTTCACGTGAACATCACTTAACCGCCGGTTGTCGGGTTGTCAGTGGCGGGGTGTTCATTCTTAATGTAAGAGAACTTAATTTCTTTTATATGTTTAATAAAAAAAGGAAATGGTTTGAAAGACGTTATAGATCCGAAATTTGGAGATTATCTTTGTCAGTTTTTTTCTTCTGATTATCCATCAGCTAATTGAGTCCCCTCTTCATTCCCCAATATTGACCTTTTCTCACACGGAAATATTATGATATATCTTTTCAGATCTATTGGAACCTTACAATTTAAAGCAAATTATAGATACTCAAACGAGAGTCACATCTACAACTCAAACACTACTAGACTTGGTCATATTGAGCAAAAACTGTGAACCTAATTTATCTAGAAGTCATTCATTTACATGAAAGTTTCGATCATTATCTAGCCTCTTGTACCTTTGATAAAGAAAATAGCTCCTTCATCTACCCGAAAATAGTTAAAAGTCGTGTATGGAAGAATTTTGGGTTTTTTGGTTATGTACTAACAACTATTGATTGGGATAAAATGTTTACTTTCAGTGGCGTTAATAACGTGGTGGCTTTTTTAACTGAAGAATTGCTTCATGTACATATATGATTTTTGTTGTCCTATCCATGAATATATGGTAACGGTAACCAGAACCAATCCGCAATGGATAACCGATAACATCAAGCTCCCAACGAAATTAAGGGTTAAAGCTTTCAACAATTTTAAAAGAACTGATCTACCGGCACATTGGGCATATTACAAAGAATTGAGGAATTACACGAAAAATGCTATGCATCGTGAAAAAAGAACATTATCAACACATACTTCCCGAACCTCCCTAAGGTAGACAGAACTCAATTACAGGTGAATGAATCCCTGATGAATCCTTTTAGTTTCGTCTAGTAACTGCAGCTGGAATATCAACTTGAATCAAAGATATCAAAGCAGAGGCTTCTGGTCATGACATTATATCACGGAAAATGCTTCTGTTATTAGAGAGCCGCTTACTAAATCATATCACATATATAATAAATTGCTGTCTTACATCATGTGTATTTCCGGATATGTGAGAAATATCTAAAATAACAAATTTCGGAATATGTTACAAATAAGTCTATTTTACCACAGATTCATTCCGGCTTCCGCAAATCTTCTGATAGTTGCAGTATCAGCTTTAGCGTCCATAATCGATGATTTGATGTTTTCAGTCGACAACCGCAAAATTGTTTTTTTAGTGTTACTTGATTACAGCAAGGCTTTAGATACCATTGACCACGATATACTTTACACTTAATTAAAAGATTTTGACTTTAGCTGTCCCGCTGTGCAACTTAAAGTTTTCTGATAGAAAGTTACCAATATATGTATATCAATTTATTTGAACGATTCCAATAAATACTCCATAACAATGAGAGTACCTCAAGGCTTAGTCCTTTATTATTCTCTCTGTATATTTCAGAATTTTCTAACAATATAAAGTATCGCAATGTTCAGCAGTACGCAGACGACACACAATTATATTACGGTTTTCATATCAATGACGCATTTTTTTTCTTTTGATTTGATCAACAATGACCTAAATACCATGTATCACATTTCGGCTGCTCATAATTTAACACTGAATGCTTCTAAATCAATAGTTATGATTTTTGGACCAAAGCAGAAACGAGTCATATTAGAAAGTGAAAATCTATATCGGCTCGATTGAAAATTAAGAAGCTTGGAGTGGGATACGTCAAAAATGATATTCGCAACAAGGTACGGGAATATGTAGGATTTTATCGAAAACAATAGCAGCTTTTGACGTCCGCCGCAGCCCCTCTAAGTCTGCTCATGCCTTGACCCTCCTTAAAAAGGATACCCACAGCTTCGGTCCGTAAAATAGAATATAGTATATATAATAATGCATCCAGCATTCCGTTTTACGAGGTCAACTTCGTACGAGTTGTGACAATACACGTGTCACCCCTTTTCTTTAAACCTGATTCCAACTCGCTAGAGCGAGAGAAACTGAGATTGCGGCGCCTTTCTAACACGATATCTATCATATTGCTTAGGAATAATTCAACTGAACGCTAGACGCAAAGAGATAGATATCACATTAACCTATGAATGAAATTACAGAGAACTACGTGGTTGCCAATGTTTGTGGATTCTACCTCAGCCGAGGGTAGTCTAGCCACGAATATACTCAGTCTTAGCCCACCGCCACCCTAGGCTACACATAATTTCGGGATCAGAGGTTGGATATTTATCGAACCTCTCGACCACGCTAGTATTTTTAGGTTATTCAAAAATGTAAATTTTAAAAGTTAAATGGAAAACATTTAATTAATTGTTGTCCAAATCCTTCTGCACTGGAGTATTAAAACACAATGATGTTGTTACATCGTTTTTTGACGTAGATCCAGTTTTTTGATCACCTTACCATGTGTCCTCTTTCACATTTTTTAACGTCGAATATTACCACCATTCTCACTGACGGACTCCTGATGTTGGCAGCATAGTCTGTCGAAAGTTCGAGTATTGTAAGTCAAAATTCTACACTTACCATAATTTGTCGATATCCCAAAAAAAGTCTTCCATTTAACTGGTTATTCCGACAATAACTATGAATCACATACTATATATATATATATATATATATACAGAGTGTCCGCAAAGTTGGGGTTTTCCTTTACACGACGTGTAGACCTTAAAACATAAGCAATTTTTCTTAGTACCATATACACCAATGTCTTAAGGGAACCGAGATAAAGGGCTCTGCAACATCAAAAATATCTGAATACCGTCCTGTAGCCGCGCCATCACGGAGTGGTACAATGTCACTGGCTCAACGACAGAACTGGGTCGGGGGTCGGGGTCAGTATGTCAGGTCAATATGCAACCTTCAACCGATGGTTACGGTCACGCCTGTAGAGGTAATCGCGTAGACGAGAATTCCTCAACAAGCACTAGAGACGTGGCTAGAGAAGTGCAAGTATCAAAAACTAAAGTGTGGCAAACGCTGCGTGAAGAGGGGCTATATCCGTTTCACGTCCAACGTGTACAAGCCCTTCAACCTGACGATTTTCCAGCAAGAGTGCGGTTTTGTGAGTGGTTGTTGCATCAACATGACAATAATCCGGACTTTTTGAAGTGCATATTGGTGACAGACGAATCTACATTCACGCGTAATGGGGTGAATAACTTTCGCAACACTCATGTTTGGTCAGTAGAAAATCCACGCTGTCCGTCGGGCACATTTTCAACAAACATTTTCGGTGCATGTTTGGGCTGGCATGGTGCGTCTGCTCGGTAGTGCATCAGCTGATTTCATTTTCTGTTGGAGCGGTATGATTTCGGGCAGAGACGTACTTAGCCCTTCTCGTCAACTGGAGAGTGAGTACTTTTTCCTTTATTTTTTTTTTACTTGGTCGCCCTCGTTTCACTACACATTACCTTTGTTATTTCAAGGGTAGTTGTTTCTGAAAAGGAAAACCCCAACTTTGCAGACACCCTGTATATATATAACAAAAAGTATATATATACTCGTATATACAGGGTGGCGCATCAAAAACGAAACAGACGCATTTACTGGCAGCTCAGTTTTTTTTAAAAACGCTCAGACCCGTCGATTTTGTTTTCGAGGGGAACACAAGTTTGGCAAAAAATCACGTTAGCACGTGCAGCCTCCTAAGTGGGGGTGACACTACCCCCAAAATCTTAAATGAAAAGGGGGGGTCGAGTGATACCTTATTCTAAAGGTTTTTCAATTCCCTTTATACTGATATAAAATTAATGTGCTTCAGTTCAGTAGTTTTGAAGATTTATTGATTTGAAGCTTAAATAAAGCTCATCATTAGTGGAGATCAATACATTTGGCAGCAAAGTAATTTAAAAATGAAGAATGAACTGACCCGTTAGGCATGTAAATGTTGAAAATGGCCACCATGACTCTCCATGCAATAATAAAGATTTTGGTCAAAACGTTGCCGCACATTTTGCAATATTTGAGGAGTAATTTGAATGCACTCATTCATAATTCTTTGTCGCAGGTCTTCTAATGATGTTGGCTGAGTAGCATAGATTTTGCTTTTTAAATGACCCCACATAAAGAGATCCAAAGGTGATAAATCTGGCGATCTTGGGGGTCATTCAATGGCACCTCTTCTACCAATCCATCGATCTGGAAACGTTTGATCTAAATATTGTCGAACACGTAATGCGTAATGTGGTGGGTCACCATCCTGTTGGAACATCAACCTATTCGCAAAGTACCGCCGATCATTCTGATTTTCAATTATGCAGGATCTATGACGTCTTATAGTAATTCCAAATACATTTCACCGGTGAAA